ATCTTAGATCTGCCTTTTACTGCTCCTTTCACATTTTGTTCTGCTTCAGCTTCTTTTAGCTTCCTTGTGCAAATTCAAACATTTTTTCAGCTAATTTCAGTTGTTTTTTCAGCTGTTTTGTGCTCCTTTCAGATTCTTTCTACCATCTACAACAATTTTGCACTTCTAACTTATTTCAGCTCCTTCCACTTCCTTCTGGTAGTTTAAGCTTCTTTCTGCTACTTTTCAGCTATTTTTTTTTTGCTAATTTGAGCTTTTTTAGATAATTTCCTAATGTGTGTGCTCATTTCTGCTTATTTAAACCTAATTCAGCAAAATGTATTCTTTCTGCTTTCTTCTGCTAACATAGCCTTATTCTTCCACTTCAGGTACATTTCAGCACGTTTTTTTGCTAATTTCAGCTGCTTTTCAACAAGTTCTTCAGCAATAAGCATTCACACTGCATCTGTGCAGGAAATGCAGTTTCTCTCGTTACGGTACATTTGTTTTCTGCCTGCACTTGTTTCCAGAACCATCCATTTGCATCATTCACTAGAACTGGTTTTCCCACAAATATATCAGTTAATATGAGAAATATCTCAACTGAGAACATCAAGGGTCAAAGAATTGGATGAACTTGCAGTGGTCTAAATGACTTTCAACTGAAGTTTACTTTGCAAGAAGGTGCCAAAAGCTCTGCTTTGTCCTGTATTACCGTACACCACCTTTATGAGAAAAACAGTTATTTAATGTTAAGAATATAACCTTTAAATGTAAAATGTATGTTAACGTGAAAATTAGTTAACAAGTTGTCTATTCTTGCAAAAAGAAGCCCACATGCTCCACAACTAGTGACATATTAGGCTAGCATTAGAAAGTAATTATTACCTTGGCTTGCTAATGCCTAAGGGAGAGTCATATTGTCATTTAAGGAAGCACACGAACTGCAGTAAAGATTAACCAGCTGCCGACTTCATAAAACGGCTCAATTTGCCTAAAACGTCAACGTTAAGAAAGGTATACCCTCTGTAAATACAGCACGTTTCGCAAAGATGTTTAATAAATGACAAAGGAGGAACCTTGCACACACGGACGGACCCTGTTTAAAGTTTGTGATTAAATCTGAGAGTTTAAGGATGAAAAAAGGACAAACTCACCTTGAACGCATACAGAAAGTCCATCAACTTGAACATGTAAATGTGTTAAAAGCGGGATGGTTCGATTTGTTCTTCTACTGATAAGATGTAAAAAGCTAGCTGGCTACTTTTTTTGAAGGATAATCCATTTCCTAGTTCTGGTAGCCTCGGTCACATGACATGGGTAGATCCTCAGAATAGGAGGATGCTTTACCCAGAGGTTCAATACGTCTTCAGTTCCAAGCAGGGTTGTGTAAATGCTCCCTGAGCAAACATTTACAGAAACACACATTATTAAAGAGGATAATAATTAACTTGGTGAAGATGGTGCCAAAACAACGGCCAATACCAGCTAACACACTCTGAGCACAAACATCTATCTTTAGAGAGCTCCTTGATCAGTAGCCATCACCCAAATAACTACTGCAAGTACAAAAAGTAGAGAAAGACTGCCTGCAGTTTATAGAAATCACAATTAAATCAGAGTTGTAGAGATAAATAGTAAAAATAAGTATTTTATGTCCCTTTAATGTGATCTTCTCAGATAAAATGTTTCTTTGAGTTTATCAAAACAAAATTCCATTAAGGAACATCTTGTCTCAAAGTGATTCAGAAAAACTAGTCCATGCATTTTTTTACTTTCAACTAGACAACTGTAAATGATTGTTAACATTTTTAAGTCACTACTATTTTATTCCAGAGGACAGAGGAGGCTCCGGCCTTCAGAAGTCAGGCTTCTCTCCGGTGGAAGCAGCTGCCATATTGACTTGGGGAGAAAAACAAATTTATGAGCAGTGGTTTCGTCTGTGCTGGTTCAGATGATTTATCTCTACTTCACAACAAGAACTGAACACCTTCACACTTTTAAAAATATATTTTATGTATCCTTTTTCAGAGGTATTTCTGGCTCTAGAGTACATTTTACTTTATACGCCATTTCTCTAATTGAATTTTTTGAAGAGTTGTGTCATTTGTTTTCACAGACTGACATTAAAAAAATGTAAGGTATGTAAGGAATGTAAAATGTAAGGAGTTAGGGAAAAGTTCATAGAAATGTGACTAACAAGTGTCAGTAAGTGTAATTGAAAACAATATATATATTGTCAAGAAAATTGGTTTGATCAAAAAAAAAATGAAACCTTTGTTAATTTTATTGCTAATGTCCCCCGTCGCCGAGGGATTTGAATAGTGAATGTTTGTAGTTTTCAAGATGAGTGTTTTTCTGGACTGGAATTGAAAAGGGAATGCAATTAAACTTTAATGTTTTTGGTGAAAGAAGTTTAAGTGGGCAGGAGTTACACTGTATAAGGAGAGAGGTAGTTTTTGTTTTTCTTGTCAAAGACAGCGAAGAGTGACAGACCCTAGGTAGTAGAGGGAATGATTTTATCCACAACCAGGTGCAATGGCGGAGCCAGGGGGTGGTCAATAGTGGCCTTGGCCACCATAGAATAATCTCTGGCCACCACAGTCAGAATAATCTTTGGCCACCATAGAATAATCTCTGGCCACCACAGTCAGAATAATCTTTGGCCACCATAGAATAATCTCTGGCCACCACAGTCAGAATAATCTTTGGCCACCATAGAATAATCTCTGGCCACCACAGTCAGAATAATCTCTGGCCACCACAGTCAGAATAATCTTTGGCCACCACAATCCTTTGAAGAAACTAGATATTATGCAATACAAAAATTAAAAAGCATAGTTCCCTCAAATGTTGGGGTGGCTAGTTTATTTTATATATA